TTTTTTAAAATTCTTGTGAAATATTGCGTATTTCGTTCATATATACAAAATAACAATGAAATAACAGGATTAATTTCGATTGGTGTCGAACAACCTGTAAAAAAAGAAAAAATTTATTCGAGTGCAACTTTGTATCGAGAAAAATTGAGTCGAATGTTCACTTCGTTTAATAGATTTTCTTACAAACTTGTTGCTTCTACTTGTGCTTGTATTCAAACGTTTTTATACTTTTTTTTTCTACTCTCCTCTTTTACCTCTATTACATTATTAGCGAGAATTCGTGAAGGATGCAGAAATTATTTACAAATATAGAAAAGAGGATAAAATAAAAATAAAAATTTTTACGATAAAAACGATGGAAAGGAAAGGTAATATTGTAAATATTTTACAATTTTGCTCCTCCTACAAATTTCCAACGTTTCGAAGGAAATCGAGATACGAAGTGATAAACGAAAGCCAAACGATAAAACGTTTTATTATAGATACACTCGAATACATATTTTTGAAAGTTAATAAACGGTTAAACGATTTAAGTGGAATTTTCAACATTCCGTTTGCACATCCTTCTTCGCCTCGCGAAAAATGAAATGGTAGTAGTAACTTCCTATCCTGATGATGGTACTCCTATTGTATTTTAATTACGCATTTTATCGCGCGCGATAAATTCTTTCGTTTTTAATACACGGAAATTTCATCGGTTATCGTTCATTCGAGTATATCGATTCAAAATCGATTCAGTTAATGAAAAAAAAATAAATATGAAAAATTCGAAGATTAAACGAAATAAACAACTTGTTGCCAAAAAAAAAAAAGGACTTTATCGAGCTCGAATAATATCTAAACGTAGAGAAATAGTAATCTTTTAAATATTCGTATTCGTAATTCTCGACACATTTTATTCAGGATATTTTTTGGGGAAAAAAACAGCAACAACGTGTATTTAATCAAATTTCAATTTTCGTTCCCCCTTGTATTCGAATTTTTAACGATTCTTTTTTCGAGATAAAAAAAATGGAAACGTATCGATCAGATTCGTTTCTAATCGTATCGCGCGTCGTTTTTTCTTTATAAAACTCGAAATAAAGTCCACGCGTAGGGGAAAATAGGAACATAGCGGAGTGTGTGTGTGTGTGTGGAGAGAAAAAGGAAGCGAGTGAATGGGGCGGGAGAACGTTTCAGAGCTTATTCAGAGCAGAAGTGAAATCCTTCGAGTTTCGGGAAAGCGTTGAAGATGTCAAGCACGTAGCTCGGTTCCTGATCATTGCCTCAAGCTTACCATGGAAGATATATGGGAATACCGACGTATACGTTTCACGATTCGCTCAAATCTGAAACAGTTACGATTTTCTTTTTTCCTTTCTTGCCCAATCATCGATGTAAATTAAATATCTTTGTTAAAAAAAAAAAAAAAAAGAAAAAAATGTGTAAATTAATTTAAAAAAAATTAAGCTTCGAAAATTTGAATTAAAATTAATTTTTTACTTACTTACGTAAAAAATAAATATATAAAATATAAGAAATCTCATATTTCTTTTAATTTTTCCACAATTAGTTATAAAAAGTATATAATTTTTAAAGGAGCAGACTCTCTTAAAATTTTTTGTTTCAATAATCCTGACGTTATTTTCCTCCCCCGAGCCCTGATTAAGCAATAGAAGTTTCCACGTTCGAAACTTTTTCACCCGTTTAGCTGCATATTTTAAAATAGGGAGTTCGGTAATTAAGTTGGCAAGGGACTTGGCTCGATTGACTGGCAACTATCTCGGTTAAAGTTACTCGACCGCTAAAACGGTATTTCATTCGTTTTTCCCTAGGTGGGTGGGTGGAACAAGAATTAACGAGAAAATATTACGTTCGAGATTCGTTATTTTTTACGCGCAATCGAAAATCTGTAAATTTCTTTAAAAATCCTTCCCCTCGAATAAAAATTCATTAGTGTTCTGATTTTCCACAAATTTCTATTTAAAAAAAATTTCTGGGATCAGTATCTATATAGTTATGCACAGAATCCATTATTTTTAACAAATCGATATCACCGAGTGTTTGTGATCAGTGCAGAACGATAATCGTTGAAATCGCCATTCCCCTGTCTTCATCCTTCGTTAAGTGTCTTAATTTTTCAAAATTTTCCAGGTAAGAGAAATTTATTATTAATTATTAGTTATCAGTTATTGAATTACGTGGTATCATTCCGAGCAATGGAAATATCGACGTAACCGAAACGAAGGGTATAACGGGGATCGTCCGATCAGATAGATCGCAACGATTCGATTGACCGATCAACTGGAGCGGTTACCGAGGCAGGAATCAGGTATCGGAGATGAAGAGAGAGCGAGAGAGAGAGAGAAAGTGGTAGTGGTGGTGGTGATGGCGGTGGGGTAGTGGTGGTGGACGCTCGAGGGGGTAACAGGTCGGATGTCCGGCAGTCCGTCACCGACTATCCCCCAGTATCTCCGGCGTGGTCCACCACGTAGTACACTCTCTCTCCACCCTGTGTACTCATATCGCCGCCACCTACATAACAAGTCCTGAATATGCATATATTCGACTAACCCCCGACATCCTTGTGTACACGCGTGCACAACCGTTATCCCTCGATCTCTCTCTTCTCTTCCTTCCACGAACACATATAATATATATATATATATTATATATATACACACACATATATATATGGTTGGAATATGCCCCCTCGATTCGATCCAGTCCCCTCTTTCTCTCTCTCTCTCGTTGCTTTCCGACTACTTGATTTTCCGCTTTCCTTTGTCATCCTTCTCGTTTCCACTCGGTCATCCATACCAACCATTCACGCCAGTTCACTATCTGACAACGCAAGAATTTATCACCGTCGTGTCCATTCCTCCCTTTATATTCGAATTTTCGCATGACACCGAACTTCGAAATTCCAATTATTCGAAAGAGCGATGCTACTTGCTTCTTTTCGAGTCGCGCAGGCGACGAACAAACCTGTTGATTCGTTTCAAAATATCTAGAAAAAAATAGATCGAGAAATACGTTGGATAGTATCGTGTATAGTATCGTGAAACGATTGAAAATGAGCGTTTAACTGACCGCGTTTCTCGGCTCGCTAGAGTAGCAGTTCGCATAACAGAGGCTGCGTCTTTGTACCGAGGATCTCTTTGATGGGAATAGCTTTGCCATCTTTTTAAGTTTCCTAGTTTCCCTACTATGCTGCCCTCTGCGTCTACCATCGGTAGTATCGCTGTTTCTCCCCTCCCCCATTCACGTAGCTATCGTTCTCTTTCCTTCCTCCTTTCTCTCTTTCTCTCTCTCTCCCCCCTCCTCATTTATTCTACCGCGTTCGCCCATTCGCCGCCGTTTGACACGACGATCGCGAACCATTTGAAAGTTAGCGGAGAAAAGGGAGAAGCCCCGTTCCACAGAGAGGGGTCAGACTCGATATAAAAAGGCTGCAACTTTAATGGACCGTCGAGCCATCTCCGATGCGGACTACTGCTATTACTCCTGTTGCCTCTCTCTCCGTTTTCGCCATAGTTCGTTTCTTACGCGTTTTAAATCGCATTAACCGTTCTTTTTTTTTCTTTTCTTTTCTTTTTTTTTCTATCAATTATTTTCCTCGGAAAGAGTCTATCTATTTTAAATTCAAACGATGTCAAAAAAAACATTTCTTTTTCGCGTAGTTTTATAATTCCTGTTGAAGCGTTCATTTAACGAAAACTAGGTTTTACGAAATTCGCTGACCAACCGGGGTGTATTAATCCATGGTGTATCAGGCCCTCTCCGGCGCAATTAATTAACTGTCAAAATAGTAGGCGTCGCTTTAATCCACGCTCGATATAGCTAATTACACGTAATGCAACCGAATATGGATCGTTTCGTGAAAATTGCCATTTTATTACCGACATTTACCACTTTCTCGTACTTTATAACAGACAGGTTGATTTATTATATTATAAATTTGCGAACAACGGGATAGTTAAAGGGGAAATTGAAGTTTAAAGTTTTTTTCTCTTTCTTGTAAAACTTGGAAAAAAATGACACCGATTTTCTTTTCTGCGAGCAAACAAACATTATGGTTAATTCGGTTCTCGTAGTCACCACCTCGATATCAATTTCGATATTATAACCTCGACACGTGTGCTACACGTTGTGTACTTCGTGTCCTACCAGATGCCGATATAACCTGTCAACGATAAGCTATGCGTATGCGATATCCGACATTTTTGTCGCCGTTCTAAATTCCGCTAATTTTCTTTCGCATCGAAATTCATATAATAAATAAATCCATAAATTTCATCTCAAATATTTAGATATTCAACTACTATAACTACTGGATACATGTTGAGACAATCTTAATCGCTATGCTATTTCTCTTGTTTTTTAACGAGAAGGATAAATTTCAAGTAAATATAATTCTACTGTCGTTTCGATCTCATCAATGATCAATCATAAAAGAATATTTTGGCCTATATTGAAAAGTTAGCCTAATTGGTCTCACGTTTTATTGTGATTCGTAGGCGAGTTGAGAAATCCAAGTTGTATAAATTAACATTGAATCTACGTAATTGCGTTTTATCTATTCAGATATTAATAATAATAATTATCGGATCGTTCTTGCAAACTTATCAACTGGTATCGATTATCGCACGGGAATCGATTCGTTCCAATTAATTTGCACGATCGGTCGCAACGGTTTCGGCTACGTAAAGCGTCTGTCTACGATACATCACAATACATCAAGCATGTTTGGGGATACGTTGATTCAGTGACTATGAAAATAGCCATGCGCGATTGACCCGTGTAATACGATTAATTCGTATGACGATTTGGGATCGTATGAAAATTCAAACGCGTGTCATCAACGAGATTTAATCGACCAAATCCGGAATATTGGAATCGGATTCGAGTTCTAAACTGTATTTTGCCGCTAATCGCGTCGCTATAGAAATCCTATCGCGCGTGTATATATTATCTCTATATTTTTTCAAAAAAAAAAAAAAATTCGTGCCATTATTATAATTTACATATAATTTTATATATTTTTATATTTCTCATTTTCACTTTTACACACGCGTATCCTGTTAGAGAACTGTCGAAGTTATATTATATGTTTATATGTTTGTATTATATGAGGTTATATATAAACGTGCGACTCACGCTTTGTATATTTACGTGTGAATTGTTTCCTTTCCCCTCCGTCGTACTTCGATGTAGCGAGCTCGGTGTAGTAGAACAAAGACATCGGCACGATCCACATCTATATAGCATATCTTATTCCTATTTCCTTTATTTTAAATATATTCTCTACTGTTTCTTATTTTAATTGAATCATTTTACAATCTATTTCCTAATAAGAACGAGAGAGAGAGAGAGAGAGAGAGAGAGAGAGGAGAGAGAGAGAGAGAGAGAGAGAGAGAGA